GAATTTTATTGCAATCAACCTGCGATTAACAACTTATCGCTTATTATTTGAAGAAATTTTAAAACCACCATCTAACCTCTTGTCAAGGATAAATCCTCCATTTCAATATTTTAAACAGATGGAGGAGTGCGGGTAGGCGCTTTAAAAATATCTGCGTGCGATGTTAGCAAAAACCGCAAGTTTTCTTGCACTTTTTCTTGAAGTATGGTTTGTATACATTACACTTGTTACGAGATTTGTAATATTCACAGAAATACTTGCTGCGACGATGATCCTTACAGCTGGATGTGGCGGGACGACTGTTGGAGCACTCTGCAGGATCACCTCTCCTACAATGTAGATATATGTTATTTACCGGGCAGGAGGTCCGTATGGGAAAAAAACTACGCTCGAGGTCTTGGGCGCGATCCGGACCGTGGTCCGTTGTGTACGAAGCTGGACCAGTTACGAGCACTTAATTATCCAATCACATCCGGCCCGCTGAGGTGCTTAAAATTAAGGAACATGTGCGCCTTTGCGACTTGCTGGTACTAACAACGCTACGAGTAACGTACAGCCGTCAGGAATTGTTCCGTTCGATTTTTCATACTCTTTTTACAAGAAAATCTGCTTAAAAACAGCTGAGTACGCTAGAGTGTGTATGGGTTGCAAAGACGTGCACGAATGAAAACACGCGGTTCCTTCCTTGCTCTCGTCGTTTACGCGTATGCTAACCAGGTGGAAGAAAACGCGAAGATGCATTTATTATGAAACAGCAGATTGAAACATCAAAACAAAAAAGTTGTGAAAAATAAATTTAACGTCAAAAGAACAAAAATGACATGGTACAATGCTTTGTAACACCGTGACCTGCTTTAAGACCTACCTTCCGGGATCAACTATACGATAAACTTTGCCTTCCCTATTTGTGCTGCTAGGACGGCTTGTCGAAAGAAAGTAAAGCTCACCTTATGGAAAAAAAAATTGCATTACAGTCTCTCAGGATCAGTCCCTTAAAAGAAAAAAGGTTCAGTCACCTCTGTCACCGTGTTGTTCTACATATTAGTAATAATGATGTGATGCCAGTCGACTGAAGGTTAACCCTGAAAAATGGTTGGACAACTGATTTGACTAGAAGAATGAAGAATACATGCCTTTGAATGTAAACAGCCCCGTAAAAAACAAAATACAACGATATCAACCCAGGCTTGTGTTCACATATCTTGAGGCTGTGTACACCCATCCAGCAGCAGTAAGTGCAAGCGGTGAATGAGATTCACAGAAAGAAATAGGGAACAGAATGGTTTTTCCTCGCCTAGCAGGCCCTAAAACTGCGGGAGACAGATACAATTCCCTTGCGAAAATCAGCTATTTGGCTGCCCGGCTGTAAATACAGTTTATTAGAAAAAAAAATCCAAAACCACGATGTAGTGTCCAGTACTATGTATTTCAAGGTAAACACATCACTTTATCTATCCATCTTGTCTCGCGGCTCGAGCTGTTATAAATTTCGAGTCGATTAAAGGATTTGAAAACAAAAACAAACAACAAATGTTACCATTGGTATAAAACCTTGATTATACGGAAAAATGTAAATGCGTTTACCATGCTCGTCCTCCCCGAATGATAAGATAAACCGCTCAAATTCTCCGCTGAGATTATCAGTGCAATATTTGTCATCCCCAAAGCAGAGCTCCTCATCTTTCCATTTCCCTGTGGTCTTGTCCTCCGTCAGCGCGAAAAGACGGCTGTAAGTAAAAGAAGAGCCCCGAAAAATAAATGATACTGATGTGAACATTTTTATTAACCGAGTAAAAATTGGCACCAGTTTATAAGGTTAATAAAACCACCCGTATGTAGCGTCCTGTATAGGTCCTCGTATAAATTTATATGTCTGGACTACATCAAGGAGTAGTATCTGAAATGGTAGAAGCTGGGATGGAAAACATTCTTGTTCTTCAAAAATTCAATCTTGTCTTGCTACATGCCTAGGGTGAATGCTAGCATAATGATGGAGAAGAAAACTGTTGCTGACTTGTGACACTTGGAAAAGTACAGTTCTAAAACAGTACATTTACACGTATTTAGCGCAAGCCGGTCATTTTGGCGGGAAAATGTCGCCGTCGACTTTACTCTACGTGTGAATTTTACAAAATATCAAAATAACCAAAACACATCGAAACATTTTGCTCTTCAAACATTGAAACACTTGAGAAAACACGAGCTCTCAAATTACACTTGATTTTAAATTTGCATTCAGTTGGTTGATAGCTACGGCGGGCGAGAGTTGTAATGCAATTTTTCCTCATTAATGGCGAGATTTCTATCGTATGTTATTTGATGAAGGCGAAGCCAGAATTGACCACCAACCATAGGAATCGAGGACAAATGGTCTAATTGTTTGATTGTAAATCTACTGGTCGTCCAAAACTAATAACTAATAAAAAATAACTGATAAAAGAGGAACGAAAACCGTCTTTACATACGCTCATGTAAAATGGTTTTATGGCCAATCAGAGCGCGCATACTATTTGAATAATAGTTTTTGGTGGGCATCGGCCCGAAACCGAAATAGCGCGAGCGCCAAATCGTTTAAATCAAGTATTAAGATTAAGACATTTTTAATGTCTATCTTTCCACCTTGACAACTTACGAGGTTACAGTGTCTCCAAATATATACTTTCCACTTAGATCCGGGTTTTTGCAGCCTCGATAAACATGGCCACCCACAATGGATTTGCCAACAGAATGGTTGTAGGCGAAAATAGGTGGAATACTACCACCTGAAAATATAATAAAGAAAGATGTTATCAACTGAAGTAGAGCTCTTCTCCCTGTCACTCAATATTGCGCAAAGTTTTCTGATCCATGATAACTGTAAAACGCAAAGCAAGACGCAGTCTTAATACTTACTTACTAAAGGAGACCTGCAAAGGCTTTTGTCGTAGCATTCAAATCCCTCAAAACCTCGCCATCCAAAATTTCCACCTTTCGTAATGATATCGATCTCCTCGTATTTATTCTGACCCACGTCCCCGCAGAATATTCTGCCTTTTCCTTCTCCCGTCTTGCGATCTCCTCTGTCCACCGAGCAACGCCACATGTTACGAGTTCCGTAAGCGTAAATCTCCGGGCGAACCCCACGGATACCTATGAACGGGTTATCCGGGGGAATCTTGTAGCTTTGTCGCCGTGCATCTACATCAATTCGAATGACACTTCCCAAGAGAGTCGATCTAAAGAAAGAAAGACAGAATCAAGACTTCGTCAACGAAGGTAAAATATCGACAATAAGGAACAGAAATGTTAAAAAGCGGTATGCGACGACGTGGATTGAACCCTTGTAAATCTCTTCCACCCCCCACCCCCTCAGCCCCCCACTCTTCCATCCTTTCTCCCTTTCTTTTGAACATGTTTTCCCGCGCTATTATAATCTTGCTCTTTCCTCGTCATCTAACCCTTCCCCAGATCCCTTTCCATCTGCTTGAAATTGGGTTCACTGGAAAGTCTTTCATGATGCGACAAAGTTTAACCTGTTGATTTGCCAGGAAATGACATCATCTGAACGAAAAGAGCAGAGGCGAAATTCTTAAGAGGGGGCTTATCAGTTTGAGGTTAATTTACAAGGAAATGTAAGGCTATGGAGAGAGCGAGAAAGTGTCACAATTTAGATATTTGGAGTTTGAGAACTAGACCATCATTAAACTGTTCTCGAGGACTCGATTGGACAAAGGGATGCGTGAATGAGGCTGAATCTATCAAACAGAAATTATATCGGTGTGATCACAGATCTCCTGTGCTTGTAGATGACTTGGTGTATCTATTTGATTACTAAGCCCCCAGGATTACACCACAACTCTGGCACGAGGTAAGTTAATTTACTCATGGTCAAATTCCGGACAACACTTTTGTCTTTACATGCAGCGCTTTTCCCTGTGCAAATACTGTCGCTTAAAAAAGTGTATGAGTGCAGATGCACTATGTTTCGGACGTGGTCTACTCGTGATTTGGGAGACGTGTCAAAGGAGTGTAACGCAAACATTACGATAGAAAAAAAACAGCATTCCTGCGCTGTTTCGCTAAAAAAAAAAAAACAACACACAAACACACTCAATCAAACAAACCTGTTTAAACCATTGCCAATCTTTCCAAAGGGATCTCCACCTCGCCCGCCATCTCCAATCGTCAAATAAAGTAGACCATCGGATCCAAAAAACAGCGTCCCTCCGTTGTGATTGTCAGCAGGTTGTTCGATTTCCATAATTACTTTTTCTGACCTTCGAAGTGCTCTGTTACGATTGTAAACCGAAGCCCTAAATTCACTCAAAACCGTTCTATGATCAAACGCTCTAAAAGGAGCTTTGGAGTTTTTCCTGCTCCCAGATTTTCTACCCATTCGAGTTGAGTAATACACAAAGAACCTGTTGTTATTCCTAAACGCTGGATGGAAAACAATGCTTAGAAACCCACGCTCATCGCCGTACGAACCTGATGTTAACACTCTGTCAGTGATGTCTAAAAATGGCTGCTGCAGTAATTTTCCCTCAGCTAATATGATGCGTATTAGGCCTGGCTGTTCGGCGATAAAAAGTCTTCCAGACTTGTCATTTGCGTGCACCGCAGCCAGAGGATTTCGTAAACCACGCGCCACCTCCTCGACACACAAACAGTTTCGGTTGGAATCGAAGTTGTATTTTCTCGAAAGGATTTCACGATCCACTCTTTGTACATGCGGGTAGCAGTAGTCTGCGTCTGACAGCTGTAGTCCGTCGCAGAACGATTTCTCGGTTAACGGTGAAGAACTTTCAGGCGTAGATCGAAGTTTCCATCTGCCGTTTGACACTAAATATGTCGCTACGTCATTACACTCTTGGTAAAAAGTCTTGCAAAAATTAGAGCATAATCCTGGGGCTGCAGTCGTCGAATCGAACTTTTTATTACCTTCTGCCTCAAAAATATGGGCTGCATATTGATGACATTCGAGGCAAAGCACTGTTTTTACCAGGTTAGCGCATTTTGGCTTGCTATCCAGTGAAAATCGGGTCACCAATCTCTTATAGACGTTCGAAATCCCTTGATCGCGGTCTACAGTGCAACAGCCATATTCCGAGTAGTTTTGCGGGCAGAAAGAGAGCTGTTTTGCTACTTTAAAGGGCGCTCTAAAATCCAAGCACTGGGGATGGCTCTGTGCTTTCTTTTGGCTAAGAATCAGGGCTATGCCGCAAAGTACAGCGCCATACAGCAGCGAGCCTTTAGACAACATAACTGGGTTGTCAGATGTAAGCACTTAATCGTAATGCTAATCGGCTGGTATGTTTAGAACGTGACAGCCTTTAGGTTTGCAATTTGAGACGATATGAGAAAGATTTCCGGAGGCAGCGGGGGTACAGCACGTTGCCAGTATTCATCACAACTCAAGTATCGATCAAACAAAGAAATTAAAGACGTCAGGATTATTTAATACCTTAAGTATACAACAAAATATTGGGAAATATTTATTTCAAAACTTAACCATTTCCCTCACAAACAGGAAGACAAAAATAATTTTAAAAAACTTGCTCAGCTCAATTTCCGCCGCTCTCTCGTGTCCAGTCTCCGCTCCTCCGCGAAAATGGAACCCGCGTGTCGCTCGATAGATCACAGGATATGATTGTATCACATTACGTCAGAGGATATAAGAGGATATCTGGACATCAGTGCAACGGTACAGCGGTACACCCACGAAGCTATAGAGAATTTTTCTAAGTGGGCCCCGAAAACGATTGGTAAACCGCGTTGCCGGCTGAAATGGAGAGTGATAAGGAAGTCAACTTTGTGGAAGTTGCAGTAATCGGAGCTGGACTAAGTGGTACGTTTTGATGCATCTTTTTAGAAGGTATTTTAAAATATGGGTAGTTGTAGTTACATTGCTCGTATTCCTAGGTTTGTTCGCTGCCCGGGTTCTTCACAAGGAGTATGGTGTCAAGGTTGTTGTTCTTGAGGCAAGAGACCGCGTTGGCGGGCGTACTTTTACTGAAACGGTGAGATGAAAAAACGTGCTAGATATATTCCATCACCTTTATCCTTCTAAACATTCTATGTTGATTCATCAGCTCTGCAACTCTCTCCCGATCCCCCTAATTTCTTCTCTCTACCGTCACCTGTAAGACCTCCTACTGCTGTAAGTTTTTCCAGAGGGCAAGCTCTTGTGTTTTAGGTTTCGCCTTAACCCTTTGCTCCCTTCACCATCAGCTGCAGCTTACCATATTTATTTGATTTAACGTCACAGCATTAATTAAATTTTTCTTGATTCAAGTGCGCTATTTATTTGAGGGCAGCATTTACAGGAGGGTGGCATTTATTTAAAATCCACTTTATTTCTTGCAAACAGTGGTATGGTAACAGACCATTTTAATTTTAAAAAACAGAAACATGTTTTAGTGCTTGTCTGAAAAGTCATTTTATATATCATTCTCAATTTCACAATTTGCATGTTAATTATACTGCAATACATAAAGTGAATAAAAATCTAATGTCGGATATTCTTTCTCAACATTAGAACTGGTAAATTCAAAAGGATTTGTGCCTGGTTTACTCAAAATTTCTAACTGCAATTGAAGCAATGATGGTTCTGAAATTGCATGATTCTGAAACAGGATTGCGGAATATGTATTAATCAACTCCGACCAGGAGTGAACTTAAATCAGTTATGTTACATCTTCCTTTCTTTCAAAAGAAAAGAACAGAATAAAATGAACAAAATTGAAACAAAAGAAATCAAATAAAAGCGAAGCAATCAACATAATTTCACAGTCCTATTCCAACCATAAAATATTATAGAAAAACTTGTCATGTCTGTTACTTAACTGGACTCAAGGTTCTAGGGGTTTATACAGTGCATAGGTGGTTTTGCTACACTTTGATGATGATCTATGGTCTTGGGATGATTATTTTCTCCAGTTTGCTGTAGGGTATTGACTCCTATGTGGGCCTGAGGTGTCTCCTGTCTTGTCAGATCTTGTCCTTGGATGAACAGCTAGTCTACTGAGGGTAACACTCTATACTAACCACTGCCTCCAATCTTTCATCACCTGGAATTTTCCAAGCTTCTTTTTTTAATCTTGGTCAGGTGGAGGGAGGTATTGAGTACATACTTTATTAACTTTTTCACTCCCAACATCTCATTATTTAGTAATTCTCCTTAATGTTTGCATATAATTGTTATATTGTTATTTTGGAGAGTTTGATATTGGATCAACTAAT